AGTAAAGAAACATATCAAGGATTAAAAGACTAATGTCACAGCAGGATTTGGAAAAACTTGTCCATGTTTTTATCTTCAGTAGACTGGACTATTGTAATGGTGTCTTTACAGGTCTCACTAAAAAATCTATTAGAAAGCTGCAGCTGATTCAGAATGCTGCTGCTCGAGTCCTCACTAACACTAAGAAAGTGGATCACATCACTCCTGTTCTGAAGTCTTTACACTGACTTCCTGTGTGTCAAAGAATAGATTTCAAAATACTGCTGCTGTTTATAAAGCACTGAATGGTTTAGGCTCAAAATGCATTTCTGACCTCCTGCTAAATGATGAACCATCCAGATCTCTCAGGTCTTCAGGGACTGGTCAGCTTTCTGTCCCCAGAGTCAGAACTAAACATGGAAAAGCAGCGTTCAGTTATTATTCTCCAAATATCTGGAACAAACTCCCAGAAACCTGCAGGTCCGCTGCAACTCTTACTACTTTTAAATCCAGGCTGAAGACTTTTATTTTTGTCGCTGCTTTTAATTGAACTATTCACTGCACTGTAACTTTTATCCATGTATTTTTTCTTTTAATGTTTATTTTATTAACTTTTCTTTTTAATGACTGATTTTAAATGCCATTTTCTTAATGTCTTTCATTTTTGTAAAGCACTTTGAATTGCCTTGTGTTGAAAGGTGCTATAGAAATACACTTTTCTTGCCTCTCTTTATCTCCCTCTGTTTCTTTCTTTAAACATCTCTCACTTTCTCCTCTAGGCCAGCATGTTAGTTTTCTATCCAGACTTTGAAGTGAACTCCGAGCGTGAATCTGATGAACTGGTCTTGCTGCTCGACACGTCGGAGTCCATGAAGGGAGAGTCTCTCGTCTTGGCCCAGAAAATCGCCCTGAAGGTCCTCAGACAAATGGATAACAACACCAAACTCAATGTCATTGTATTTGGCACAGGTCAGTTTGAATGTGTATTCATTTTGGGTCAAATTGATAAAGCAATAAGGGGAAGTACAAGTTAGAAAGGTGAGATAATGTTAAAATATCTCACCATTAATGAGTAAGCTAAAAGTATTTTGACTGAATCAAATAAATGAAATAAAAAATGAATAAGTTATGTAATAAAACTGCAAGACACAAGCCATGACACTGCTTTGGTTTTGATAATCTGTTATTTACTCTTACATTCATTCGTGTTTCAGCACTTCCTCTCACGTCAGCTATCACATCCAACATTTCAAGTACAAGAAAACTGCTTTTAGGGACTTTCCGTCTGAAGTCAACACTTATTTTACATAAAAGTCTCCTCTTATTCCAAACTCAGTTCAACCAATACTTTATAATTTTAGCGAAAGTATAATGTGTTTTTTTTTCTGTATTTTTGTCTGTCAGATCACAAAGACGCTTTCCTCACAGCACGGCCGCTCTTTGAAGCTCAACCGGCAGCAGAAACATTTATCAAGGTGAGTCTTTGGTTCATTCAAAAAACGAGCTACTGTATATAACATTTTAATCTATAAAATGTATCTCACCTCTCTGTGTAATGTACTGTAGACTAAACCACCTTAAACGACTTACCAATCACTGTACTGTAACAACATATTTTCAGTATACTACACTTGAGTTTTCGGCCATGACAGGAACTTGGTCCTGTGACACATGGACTCGATAAACTTGAGTAGTCCTTACAATATATTTCTCATAACTCTAAAATAAAACAGGAAACGATAGTGAGAAGTATTGCCTTGGCAAAATTGGTCAGTGTAAGATGAATTTCTTATTTGAGTTTACGGCTTTCTATAACGACATACAGAATAATACTATATTAGATTTGAAAAGTAAACTAGTCATTGAAGAGACTTAAAAGTAATTCACAGAACATACTGTACTGGAAGTAACTGTTTTAGCTGCACACAAAATGTGTGCTGTCAAACCGGTTCGTTTTACACAGAACTTATTTTTTAAAATATTCCAAAAGTCTATGGAGAAATCCCATTGCTTTTTTGTCGAGGGAACCCATGCTCAGCTTATTTCCAAGTCGGCCTACACAAATACGTCATCACTGCACTACTCTATAAACCCGTTTCTGATTGAGATTCTGATTCTTCCTCCTCTCCCTGCCACCAGCTCTCCTCTCCAGTAGGGGGCAGCACTGAGCTGTGGCGGCCCCTGCGAGCTCTCAGCCTGCTGCCTCCGTCCCGCGGCGTCAGGAACCTGCTGCTGCTGTCGGACGGACACATCCAGAACGCAGAGCTCACCCTGCAGCTGCTCAGAGACAACGCCGAGCACAGCCGCCTCTTCGCCTGCGGCCTCAGGTCTCAAAGGGTCATAGGTCACACAGGGGAGGGGGGTTTTCTCAGAAAGGAGAATACATTCCTGCGTTTTAAAGGTCCCCTGTTTTTCATCAATATATTATAGGTCTCAGATATAAAATCTTATTTTACCTGTCCCTTCTTAAAAAAAATAACAACAACCAAAAATGAAATAACTATACAAACGAAAAATAAAAGCAATATTCTTTCAGTCACAGTTGCTCACAAATACTGAAACATAAAACCAGAACACAATCAAAAGTAACATTCAGGCTGTCTGATTACGCTTTCTTTATACATTTTCTTAAACATATTGATCTAGTTATATGATTGGAAATATGTCCTGACACCAGAGACACAAAGACATAAAGGCTGAGCTGTCTAACAACATAAGAATGAAAACAATGTAAACACAAGTCTGAATGACAATATAACAGAAATGGGGGAATGTCCCTACTAAATGTGTAAGGAATCTCACTCTCCCTCATAACCACGACCGATACGGATTGTAACTCTCTGAGCTTTAATGACAAAACATATAGTATTCAGCCTTGCCTTGCTTTGCACTCTGAGGTTCTTTTTCACAACAGACATTTTAAAGTTGCTGTTTTTTTATGCTTGTTCTGTCATTTCAGCCCGACAGCCAATCGGCACATGCTCAGAGCGCTGGCTCAGGCCGGGGGCGGAGCCTTTGAGTTCTTCGACACAAAAACCAAACACAACTGGACAGATAAGGTAGGACTGACTAGCTTTACATTTTATTATAACACATTATTGGGCTTTTTTACCCAATGCAAAACATGAATTTGTATCTGATGATCTCGATATGTGTTGAAAGTATCAACATGTTTCCCAGGAGGATCTAACACGTGTAATGTTGTAAAATGGGCCGACAAAAAAATTGTTTTATTCATTTGTTAACGCTTTGTTAACTCTTCACCCTTCAGTAAAGGGAACGGAGAACTTCCACATCAACACATTGTGCAATATAAATATCATTTCCATCATTACAAAACACTTGCTGCTATATAACATGTGCAATATTATTATAATTAACAATGTGCTATGATAAACGTGCAATTACGTATATCTGCCACTACGGTCTTTTTTTTAACTACTA